ACTGAGCTTTTCAAGAATGTAAGTCACAGGTCCTAAGCATAGAGAAGTGTTCAGGTAGGGGATTTTTGCGGGATGATAGTCTTCAAACCCTGTGGGGAGTGTTTGGCTATAAAGTAAAGGAGGACATTTTGTGTTGTGACAGCTTGTCTTTTTTGCTGGGTATTTACTTACTATCAGTGTCATGTTTTGAGCTGAGCTTTATAATAGCAAAAAGGTTCATGGCCATGACGGGATGTCAGTTTTTCAGAACTAAGATTCTGACTCAAAAGAATCATGTTGTCGAAAATTAACCACTTGCTGCTTCTTGAGCTCTTTGAGTAAAATTACTGTCTCAAATGGCAGGCTTATGAAAAATTTTACACTTGTTTTGAATTTTATAAGTTTACAGCTATGTTAGAGACTCACCAAACTTTTCAGGTCATCCTGAGAAACCAAGGTCGCTAACCAAGAAAGAAAGCTTTGTTGTGATCTTTATTTAGAGAAATTAGCCATTAGCATTGGAATTAAAGGCACATCATTCAGAAGTGTTTGTAATTTTGCACCTGTGTACAGGCAGCAGATTAGTGTGGTAGATTTACCCATGAAACACATCCAGATTCCATGCTGGAGAAGCTTCGGAAGGACCCCATGTGCCTCCGTGGTGTCTGCAGATGGTCCCACAATGACATCTGGGACCCCAACCCCCAGTGCTATGAGCCCCCCACACCCCTGAAAGAGAGCATGTGAGGGGGAGGAGGTAGGCGAGTATTCTCATTTTCTTTGCTATAACCTGAAACTTAACTTGGTTTGCAATAAATAAATTAATTTAATTAATTAATTAATAATAAAGAAAGAAAGGGAAGGAGAGAAATTGCTTCCTGCGTGGTTATTAAAGATCCGCAGAGAAGAGGAAATCTACAGCTCCCCTTACTTATCTGTCATAAGTTTTCTAGGTGTCCTGTGTCGTCGAGTACAGAGCCACAGCGCACCTCTGAAACTTCGGGATCGCAGTGTTTCCAAGCACAGAACTTGGCGGGGTGGTTCAGGGTGTTGCGTGACCCCCATGGCAGTGTCTGGAATCTGGTCGGTTTGTGCTTCTGGCGTAGTCACACCAAGCGGAAGAGAGGGAGGAAGGGCCAGCATTAGGTTTGCCACCAAGTTGGTTAGAAGGCTTCACTTCTTAGAGATTTTCGGATTTTGGAACTGTGGATGTTGAGGACCTGGGATAGTCTTTCTGACTCATAAAAAGTTCTCTCCCTTGAGAACTTGACTGTCATGATCCACCCACGAAACATGGCGGAGTTAGCAGGAGACTCACGTCGTGTTCCGGCTTCTGAGTTTCGTGGTTATCCTTCCGTTACATGGTATCACTTTCTGGCTTCAGTGCTTCATTGCTTTCCCACCCGGGCACTTCAAAACCACCGGTTTCAGGAAGAATTCTTCCACACAAGGCCAGTTCTATTTGCCCCAGGTGTGCCCTGCAAATTATGTCATATCTCATTTGACCCGGGGGGGGAAATCTTCTGGAACAATATTTCCTCATTTTTGAAAGGAAAACAAGCACCTTGTGGATTTTGCCAATCCTTCTGGCACATTTAATGTTTGCTTTCTTCACTTTATGGTATCTTGGTTAAATTTGTTGTTGCTGTTTTTTTGTGGCAAACCCCCTATTTGACGTATTGCTAGAAATCTTGGTTTTCCACAGTGGGTCATTCAGACTTCACATGTGTTTTTGAGCAGTGCGGGCAGGAGGAGGGAGGCCCATCATCTCAAACCCCTCCAAATCAAAGACCACACACAGCACTGAGAGACCACTCTTTTGCTGGCAACATTAGTAACTACCTAAAAGTTTTGAATACAATCTGGTTAATATTAAAAATAAGAGGACTTCAATTTTATTCTGTTTTTCTGTTGTTGTTTTGGGGGTGGGGGAGGTAGTTAGGTTTATTTATTTTTTTAATGGAGGTGCTGGGGATTGAACCCACGCTGGAGGTGGTGGGACCACGTGCTCTACCACTGAGCTATATCCTCCCCTCACCCCGTCTCAGTTTAGCAAGTGACTTTCAAAGAGACCTTTTTTCCTCCTAAAAATGAAACATGACCGCTGTTTGGAACAATGAACTGTTCAGGGTATTTTAAAAGTTGGCGTTTATCAGGTGCCGTGAACTCTGTGGGAAACATCCACGTAGAAGACCTCGCGAGAGGAAGCTGGGGACTTCTAGCACATTCTTTAGGTTTTAGCTTCCCAAGTCTCTGGAGAGAGAATGAGCATTAAGACAGCCTCGTGGTTTGCAGCCAGAATTTGGCCAGATTGTTGGACAGGCTGGCCGCCTCATAAGTTATTACAGATGTTTACAGACAGCAGAAAGGCAAATAAAACAGTTCCACCTAGTTGTCCTCTGGGAAGGTTTAAGAGCCGTGGATCCCTTCCAGAAGGTAATGGGTTTGGACGGGCTTCATGCCTTGGTGATTTCTTGCTGTGTTTGTTTGTGTCACCTTGCCCTGGGGGAGTGCCAGAAAACCCACCGAGCTCCAGCCAGGAAGTCAGGCCTGGGATTGTCAGCAGGGACTCTTGTTTGCCAACAAACGAGTGTGTAGTGGGTAAGACAAGCCCTTCCTCCCGTAGTTCCTTCCTTCCCCAAATATTCTTTAAATGTGTTGAGTGAAAGGAAACCCAGACCCGAGCTTCTGCTTAATTGCCTTTCCCACAGTTGCATCCAATAAAAGTTCAACCCATAAAAGTGCCTTTTGATACTGAAGGTGCCACCCTCGGCACTGGTGAGTCAGGGAATGGAATCCCTGTTGTCAGGGAGCTTAGCGTTAATAAACAGGGCAGGTGAGATCCTGAAACTCATCCCTGTGGGCTCCTGGGTGTTTGGGGAACTGAGTATTTCTTTAAACTCTACCTCCATAGTGTGCGAGTGTAAATTCCACACTCTGCTTGGAAATTGAATTTTCCTAAACGCGAGGAGGCTACCTGCTTGAGAAGTTTCAGTGGCTGACCCTTGCCTCCTGGCTAAACTTGAAGTCCACCAGCCTGGCATGGAAGGTCCTCAAAATCCTATGCCTAACCAGCTCTGTATTCGGCCCGATTGGCCCTGACATACCACCCACTCTAGCTGATCTTCTCGGCACACGGTACCTGGCCTCCATACTCTGCTGTATCCACGGGGAAGAAAAATGAGATTCCTGTCCTTTTCTCCATGCAGGTTCTGCCCCAAAGCCAGCTTTTACACCAGAGCCTACCAGGTCCTTCCTTTCCTCCAAACTTTTTAGTTTGTTGTTTGAATCGATGTGATCCAACACTTCCCACATGGTCAGTTATCTTTTTATTTGCACCTCTCACCCGCCACACTGAATTGTGAGCACATTTTGAATGAGGATTAACGCTTATCCTTTCTTTTTTTTAATCTCCTGTAGTACTGCCCTAGAGCAGGGGTTCCATAAATACCTTCAACTGAATCGATTTTTTTAGGTTGAAGTGTATTTGATTTACAATGTTGTGTTAGTTTCTGGTGCACAGCATAGTGATTCAGTTATACATCTATATTCTTTTTCATTATAGGTTATTACAAGCTATTGAATATAGTTCTGTGTGCCATGTAGTAGGACCTTGTTGTTTATCTGGTTTTTATATAGTAGTTTGACTTATGATTAATCAATAAATCCTTGCCACTTAGGCGCTAACAGTTCGAGTGCTTGGGTTTATTGATTTTAACAGTTACAAGCTGAGCATTTCTTTCCGGTTGGTTGTTCAAAGCCAAGATTCACAAACTTCACCGTCACTGTTTCTTAGACCACTGGAAAAATGCCCTTTCTGGGAGCGGCTGTCACATCCTCATGCTTCGTTGTCACCACGTGCATGAGCTTAAAGCGTGGAAATGGTTTTGCCCAGTGGCACTGGGCACCCCAGCGAGGGCTACTGATTCCATGGCCATATGGCCATAGGCAGTGTTTCTGGCTCGGGGGGCGGGAGGCATGGAAGGCACAGAAAGGCACACGACTGTGGTGGTCCTTCCTTCCTTCTTTCCTTCCTTCCTTTCTTCCTTCCTTCCTTTCTTCATATTTACCTACTGAGCTCCTGTCTCATTTCTTTTTAGGTGCTTCTGCCCAAGGTCCGGGTGGTCACTATTTCCCTTGTTCTGTATGCACAGCACAGAAGCTGCCACCACAGCCTAGGTTAGAACTGTGTCAGGAGGCAGGCTCCACGGGGTGACCTCGGCCCCCATCAGGGCTGTGAGGCACTTCAGTGGACCAGAACAGGGAAACACCTCCACACGCCAGACCCATCCCGAGTGGATGCTGTAACTGCCTCTGGAGGTAGACAGTGGGGGCCGACACCCAGATGTCCTGTCCCAGCGGGGATGCGGGTCTGCTGAGTGTCCAGAGAGGCAGCAAGCCTCTAAAGACCCCCGGTTGTAACTAGAGGAGTTCAAAGTGTCTCCCTAACCTGAGAATCTCTGGTCCAGGGACTAGAGGCATAAAACCTCCTGCTAGTGCCAGACAATCCACCGCACGCTTTCCAAGTCATTTCTGGATCTTGTCAAAAGCAAATGTTATTTCTTTGTCATATCTTGGACAAGAGTTTCCAACGTGTCACCAATCCAAACAAAGGAAGCTGGCCTGTGGGTCAGTGAGGGAAACAGCTGAGCAGAAAACCGTCAGGCTGTCCATTCTTAGAGCCCACGACGGGGCCCGTGGGAGCTTCCTCGGGTCCCCCGCTCCCGCGGCCCTGGGACCCTCATCCATACCCCTCTCCGCATGCAGGGCTTGAGAAGGACCCTGCTCTGCCCTGCCCTCTGCACCGGGGGCAAAGGGAAGGCTGCTGGGCTCTGCATGCTGTGTCCTTCAGCGTCTCTGTTAAGCACATGAGTACAGAAGAAACAGCACTTTTCACTAAAGGGTGCAGATGCACGGTGTGTGGACCAGGCGGCTTGGCCCGGTCGCATCACTCGGCACGGTGGTCTTCTCCGAGGCTGAGTGTGTTTCTGCCGTTCTCTCTGTCTGCCCCTCTCTTCCAGCAACGAAGTGGTGAGGACTGACTTGAAGAAGCTACCAGCACTTCCCACGCAGGCCCTGAAGGAGCACCCCTCCCTAGCCTACTGGTAAGCCCCTCTCTCCCCTGCACATCCCAGGTGCCCCCATTCCCACCCCAGGAGGGAGCCCCTTCCAGGGATGTGGGGCTCTGGGCCACTATCCACCCTCCCAGCCGCCAGCGAGTCAGCCTGAACCCCAGTCGGAGAGCAAATTCAAACTGTGTTAGGTGCCTTGAGTCTTCATGAAATCGTTTTCTGCATTTATTTCAATGATGCGGAATGTGTGAGACCTTTTTCCAATTTTCTTCCTTTAAGAAAAAAGTTCTAAAATTTCGCTCTGGATGCTTTGCCTTCTCGGAGATCCTTTCATGTGCTGCTCGAGTTTCATTCTGGAAGCCCCATCATTTGATGACAGGATGTGTGGGGGTTTTGAGATGTGGGAGGACGACAGGTTTTTTTTTTTTTTCCTTTGCAGAAGAGATTGATTGTTTTATTTTCCCACAATGTTTCATATCTTCTGATTTAGCTGGCTGTGTAACATTACACCATAGTTCATCTGTTGGCCCCTAAATTACTGACTCTGAAATGTTTCGGGCATTTGAACGCAGTTCCCAGATTGTGGTTTGAGTCACAACTGAGCGGGGCTTGCCTTGCTGGGTAGTGTGTTGAAATACTGCTGGGCTGGCGAGCTCCGACCGCTGTCCTTTGAAAGCACAGTGTGGCTTCCCTAATCGTCCTTCTGACTCTTGAACAGAAAGCACTGAAGCTGCTTTTATTTTAAAAAATAATAATGAAACGAAACAAAGATCGCAGAACAAGCCCATCCTGTTGAATTACCACATGTGATTCTTTCAAGCTGTCCTGTAACGCGCCTTATGAAATGTACAGTTTACCAAGATTTCATCTTGTCTGGACACCTTTCCAGTCGGCAAACTAGTTGTTCAGTTATCTGGGTGGCTTTAAGGGATTTTTTTTTTGGCTGGGGCGGGGTGTGTCTCGCTGCAGAGGGCATTAGCAGGATGAAACTGCAGTCCATAAACCATTTCTCCCCAAGAGACCAAGTGATGGGGCAGCTGGACGGGAAGGGAAGGAGGCGAAGCCTGGGGCTGAGAGCTCCCTGCAGCGTGCTGGCACCTCCGATTTCGTCTCTCTGAACTGTTTTGTTGCCATCCTTTTTTTTTTTTCAGTAACATAGTTGTCAATAACCACTTGCTTTAGATCATTGTAATTTTCCCTCAGAGAACAAAATCGGTTTAACGTACAGACTGTACATGCGTCTGTTTCCAAACTTCCAGCCTGGCAGTCTGCACGTACACATGCCCACAGGTGGCACTCCTGTCCCCTTGTCCGTGGAACCCGATTGCCCTCTCCCCAGTTCCTTATGCCTGCTGGGCTTCACCTTTTGTATCCTCCGCACTGCTCACTGTCAGGAAACCAGTGGTGAAGGAGCTGGAGATGGAAGGCGATACCTCGAGAAAGTGGTGGTTCCTACAAGGCGGAAGTGTATTTGCCTGCGGGGGGCTGCAGGGTTAATGGGTTGTCTGGAGTCAGAGATGCTTAATCCACCCCTCAATTATCGCATTTATTGGTTTCCACATCTTTTTTACACGCTGTGCTCATTCAGTGCAATGAACTCCTTCTTTCCTCTCTCCTCTTTCTCTCTCTGGATTTTCTTCTGTTACCTCTGCGGTCTGCTCTGTGCACACACAGTATCACTCATACAGAAACTCCTTCCTCCAGGCTTTTCCTTGCTCTTCGATGAATACAAACATCTTCCTCCTCATCCACCTCTGTAGCCGTCTTGCCAGACCACCCCTCCATCTCTGTGACCCGGCCAGCGCTTTCCCTGGGCCTCGTTTGGTCACTGTCTAAGTGCCCTGGAAGGATGGCAGGACTGAGGGAGGGTTGTGTTTGAAGCAGATGCCCTCAGGCTCCACAGCTCAGCTCATAGACAAACAAACCAGTAGCCTAAACTATCCTGATAATGCGTTGCTTAAAAAAAAAACAAGTGCAAACACACATATCCACAGATGCAGTGGACAACCTTCGTGCCAAAATAAGCCAAAGGGAGCCCATCCACACCAATCAGGGAAGGCGTTACAGCCTAGCGAGCAGAGCAGCGGGCTTTAGTGTCCCAGCCAAGACTCCGAACTGTGGGGTAACCACAGCCCAGGAAGCTTGCGTGACTTCTCTGCTGCCTCGATCTCCCATCTGTAAAATGGGACTAAGCAGACCAGCCAGATTCAGACTGTGATTAGGAGAGGAAATAGAAAGGCACATAATGCAATTAGAACATAGTGGAAGGTGCCTAACAGTGCTGAGTAATTGTGCGATGGTCCCTTCTGCTCCTTCGCCACAGGCGTTCAGCAAGCTAGGACTTCTCACCCCACGTGGCTTCCTATCGGGGAAGCATCGGAGGAACAACGCCCCCGGGTCGCAGAGCGAGGCGGCATCGGGGCCCGACCTGGGTTCTCTTGAGCTCCTTTCCCGCAAATGCTGGACCACTCACATCCCCTGCACAGGATGTGAGGGGACATCTTCCTTTACTCTGAAATCTCGGGCCCCTGCAGGCTGACGGCTCCTCTGAGACAGGGAACCCTCCGGCCATCACCTTGTTTCCCCTTACACACCTGGCACCTTCCAGGCTCCTTGTCTGCGACATGATTGACTTTCATGGCCCAAGCCAGCCCAGGGCTGGGGCACAGTCAGCCTTGGTCGCTTGTCTGTTTCCTTCACGTCACACCATGTCCTCCAAATGAGGTTGTGGGGTTCCATCTCCTCTGGCTTGTGGGTTTCTAGTAGTAATTCCGTTGAGTCCCTGCCCTAGATATGGGGTGGCTGGTGCACAGGAGTCATCCGTACACCCCAGGGGAGGGGCAGGGGGAGGGGATCTCAGGCAGCCCGGTGGGTGTTGTCACACGCTGGGCCCATGTGTTTCCACTAGGGCAAAAGAAACAGGAAAAGCGAAGAAGGAGGTAGATACTGTGGCCTCACAGAGGGTCTCAGACAGTAGGAGAAACCAAGGGAGGGAGGGTGGCCAGTCCCTGCAGCTGTCAGGTAGGGCGAGACCCCCAGGGTCGGGCCAGTTCGTTGATAAACAGCTGAAAACAGCTGCTCGCTGGTGTTTTCTGACATTCGCTGGTGTTGGTCCTGAGCCTTGCTGGTGTTCCCAGCTCCAGCACGTGTTGAATTCCATCTTCCCACTTCAGCCCAGGGACTGGGGGACCCACTCCCCAGAGCTGCAGAGGAAGCAGGCTGCAGAGTGGCTTGACCCCGGATGTAGGAGTCCACCTCACCAAATGCCAGATCACGGTCCAGCCCAGCTGTTGATTCAGTGGGCGGCGGAGGGCGGTGGGGGTGGGCGCTGGAAGGGTAACCCTGGACTGTCCTGACCCGACTCTGAAGGTCTGGTGAGTCTGGCGGTGACCCCACAGAGGACACTTCTAGAGAATTCTTGGTCAGGAGAGGGCTCTGTCCCACTCAGCATAGAACCCTCATGGCATGTGGGAGCCAAGGAGAGATATGGCTGTATCTGCCCCTTTCTGAGCACAGGGGGCCCAGACTCCATGGAAATGACTCTCAGCCAGAGAGGCCCCCGGTTGCTGGTCATTCCCCATTCGGGGCATCAGTGAAGACTTGTGAAGGGCCCATCTTACGTGCATCAAATTTCAGAACACACAAACCAAGAGGTGGTCACAGAAGATGGAGAGAGTAATTAGAGATAAATAAATTACCCCCAAATACGAGGTAATGAACACATGGGCTGTGTGGCCCCCAGAAACGGCCCGGCTGAAAAAAGAAAAGAGGTGGGTAAGGACAGACTGTAGACCAGTTCTGGGATAATAAATGAGTAACAGATCATCAAAATCAACCGCACCCCAGAACTTTTTTTTAAATTTTTTTTTAAAAAGAGGGGAGGGTATTGCTCAGTGAGAGAGCACATGCTTAGCGCTCACAGGGTCCTGGGTTCAATCCCCCATATCTCCATTAAAAGCGAGTAAATAAATAAACCCAATTACCTCCCCCTCAAAAAAAAATTTTTGAAGATCAACCCAGGAGGTCTTGAGGGTTCACCCTAGGACTGCCGCCCATCCTGGGGTCCACTGGCCTGTGGTGAGAAGTGGGAGGCCGAGGAGTGAGGCAGAAGGTTCCAGGGCCACGTGGCCAGGGGCGGGAGGCCGCGGCTTTTGATCTTGACTCCTCAGAAGGTGGGATGCGTTTCCCCGCGACTCCCAAGGTTGGCTCTGCGCTTCCGAAGGCCACAGGGCACTATCACTTCCCAGAGAGGGCCGTCGTGTCCCCACCCTGTCACAGGAGGGTCTGGCCCCCGCTGCCCCTCACAGAGCGAGCTCATCTCTTGCTGTGTTAGAACTGAGATTTCAGAAGATAACGGGGTTCCCATCAAATTCTGCTAGCCGGCTTCTTACTTCCCCAGTGCTCCTCTGGGCCTTTTATCGCTTCATGGTGTGTGTTCACCAGCCTCAGATTCCAGAACTTTCCCATCCTCTGGGGAGACCCTGAACGCTGACTAACTCGGGGTGGGGGGGCCACAGGAGGGCTGTTGAGGTCAACGCCTGTCTCCCCCCCCTCCCCTGGGAGGCCCTGTGCAGACGGGATGCGGAAGGTGAGGCCAGTGAGGAGGACCCAAGGGAGGTGGGCCAGTGTCCACGCTGACCTCCCACCAGCCGGCCCTCCTCCTGTCCCCTGTTCCGTGTCCGCCTCTGGGACGCGGGCTCCCCTCTTCGTCCTCTGCTCCCACAGTGTCATTTCTTACAAGAAGCCGACCCCAAACCTGGGCTGTCATCTTATTTCACTGATCCTAAGTCCAAGACCAAGAGAATGTGCATCCTCTGAGGGGCAGCAGGCACTTGTAGGACACCTGTGGTCTGAGGAATCCCCAGCTGCTTTCGGAAATGCTGCTCTCAGGACAAGTCATCTGTCCAGGAGCTGTTGGCTCCTTGGAGCTTCTTGGGAGTTGCTGGGGCTCCAGAGTCTCTCCGGGAGCTGGGCTTGGGGCCGTGGACTGGGGACTGTAACAGAGAGCCCTTTCCTCTTGCTCTAGTGAGGACCGGGTCATCGAGCACTACAAGAAGCTGAACGGCCAGACCAGAGGCCAAGCCATCGTCAAGTAGGTGCCCCCGCCCACCTCCCAGTGTGAATGAGGTTGTGTGTGCGTGTTCATGTAGCATTGGTCAGAGTTATTCAGTCCTGCTGGGACAGACGTAGCTCCGGGGGTGGGTGGCTCCATTCAATTTACAATGAATAATCACTCTGAGAATTCTATCATGTGCACACACACACATAGATATGTGGATAATGCCGGTTCTGCCAATTAACCGTGTGTGTGTGTGTGTGTGTGTGTGTGTGTGTGTGTGTGTTGTCTTCCCAGCTACATGAGCATCGTGGAGTCTCTTCCAACCTACGGAGTTCACTATTATGCAGTGAAGGTAAGTGAACTCACGCGGCGAAAGTGGCTACCATGCCCTAAAAAAATAATTCTCCTTTGTTTTCTTCTTACTCTTACTGAAGACTTGTTTGGGGTGGGTAGGGAGGGCTTGGTCAGGAAGGTCACATGCTTGGGGCAGTTGGGACAATGGACCTTCCCCCTCGTGTACATAGGACTTGATTCAGTTACCCTCCAAAACTCGCTTTCCCTTTTGTGAAGTGGGTGTGAAAAGTGCCATCTTCCCTTCATTCTCAGAAGGATCTCGGAGCTCAGACCACAGAGGCTCTTAGTAGGAAGCGTCCATCTAAATGCAAGGAACTACAGAGAACAAAGCTTTCAGCAGAAAGAAGAGTGTTTTTCTTGGTGATCAAATGCCACATAGGCAGCTTTACAGGAGAGCTGGGACTTAAGGCTGACAGAGTAGACAGCTAGTTAAAAAGACGGGCTCTGTCTTCTTAAATTTTGTGATGGCAAGTCCAAGGTGACCTGCGCCCCATTCTAAATCCTCTTGAATTTCATCCATCATGTCCCAGACTGGGGTCCCTTCTTTGAAGTTATAGATAATGATGTCCCCATGTGCCCTTTTCTATCATGAGAAAGGATGACTTCTTTTCCTTAATTTACCCCGAGGTGAAATTTAACTTAGTCATTGCCCAAAGTCTGGATGGAAAGTGCAGAAAACACTTCCAAACTCAAGACAGTTCCACCAGCCAACCCGAGATTCTCCTGCTCTTCTACCAGTTTCTTTGCCCACGTTTCCACCCAACTGTATTTCTACTTCCTTTAGACCAGAGCACGTGACATATTTCATTCATTGTTGTGTCACCGACGGCAACTTGCACAATCACTTTGCACGTCCTTGGTACGCATTTAATTGCCTGTATCTTCCTTTAAACCTCAGCCTTTTGATGCCAAAGACTGTGTTGTATTCGGTTATATATTCCTGGAATCCAGCGGAGTGTCTGGCACATGGTAGATGCTCAATAAATACTGACCAAGTACCATTATTGAGAATTGAATTGCGTAGTTGGGTGTACGCATTTCCACATCGGGAACGAATGTCAGAGCGATATTGTGAAGGCCAGTTACAAGGCCTATGTGGGGACTCCAGTCCCACCCAGTGGCTCAGCTCAGGATCTCTCAAAGTCTGTGATGCTGAAATTCTCCCCGATGTCCTTCCGGTGCTCTTGCCACCATTGGAAGCTCTTACGCCCTCTCCACCATCAGTCACAGAACTCAGAGCCATCACAACCATCCCTGCCCTTCCCAAGCCTAAGCTACAGTCTGTCGTGTGAAATGTGACCTGGCCTCCTGGGCCGCCTTCTGACCCCCAGGAGAAAGGTACCTCCTCTAAGGAGGCTTCCCGCGGTCCGGCCGTATCCTGGGATGTGGCCACTGAAGCCAGTGGACAGTCAGCTCCCTAAAAGGAAATGGACTTGATCATGAACAGGGACTCGGAACCCACCCTGCGGGCTGGTGAGAGTTGCAGGGCGCATGTCGGCTTTGCCTCTTCCTACCGGAAAGGAAACGGACGGCTCCGACGGTGGTTCCTGACATGATGCCAAGAGACGTTTCACAGAAATGGCTGGGAGTCTGCCTCCTTTGTGGAAATAGCCTACAGCGACGTGCAGCAGAGGGGTCGGCATGCGTGAACGGGAGCCAGGAACCGGGGAATCCCTGAGCTGCGTCCTCTGATCTGCTGTTTGCTCTTAGCTTGATCTCCCCTCCACTCATAATCAAAACAGAGGTTAGGAGATTTGCTTCTCCGATGCCCACAAACGTCTGCTCGATGTTGGGAGACTGTTGAGGTGGGTTGAGGGAGCTGGATCGGAAGGCTTTGAGAGGAAACTTCATCTGCCCTTTTACTTGCTTAACCTGAGTTCCGTTTCTTCATCAGCCCTGGAGTCTGAGAAAGGTGGCCGCATAGACCTGCCTTCTGCCTCCCAATAAAACTTCAGAAATCCGCTCCTTTGCACTTTGTTGGAGACCAGAAACAGACTTTGTGATTTACCAACTGCCAAGTGTGCCTGTGTGTTGGACTCTTGGAATCTCCAAGCATAATTCCTCTTCTACTTATGTGGAGAAGGAGCCTAAACCAACTGTAGCAGGACACTGTTCAGTGGCCTTGTAATTTCACAGATGCCACATTTTACTGTGCGATCACAACTCTTACCTCGTCAAGCTGTTGTCCTGTTCTCCAAACCCACCGCCTTACTCATGGGCACTCTCTGGAGACAGGGGTTTTATACCTTTAAACATTTTTTTGAGAAATCATAGACCTTGAAGCTTTCCTAAAATTTCAAAATGTATTTCTTTTGCCCTTTACCTTTGTGCTTACCATAAACTAACTCACTGTTCATTCATTGCCCCACAAATATTTGAAAACCAAATTCTGAGCCACTTTTTTGAGTTTTCAAGACATTCACCACGCAGTGTGTTTCATTTGCCGATGTGGCGGTTAGGACAACTCCAGGGAAGGCTGCTTGATACGCCCACTATCAAGTCCTAGAGTTTGGGAGCTTCTAAGTAACAGCTCACAGTCACTCTGCTTGAACTAGATTTAACGACTTACAATCTGGTGCCCAGAAGTCTCTGTTAAAGGAATAAACAGAGGGTCCTGGTGTTTCTATTTCTGTTCCTGGACCATCTAGGCTTCGATGTTGCTACTCTGTCCTGTAGCCTGAGTCATACAGTCCAGCCTGGCAGCCGCTGTCCCCGTAAGATGAGCAGGACCAGGTGGTCAGCGCCTGCCTTCCCGCACTGCCATTGGCCCTCTGGGGCAAAGGGGAGGGTCTTGAATAGAGTAGGAGCCACTCTTTGCATAATTTCTTTGTCTTTAAAATTAGAGGAGTCTTAGGTGCATATTGCTAAGTGGAAGAAGCCAGTCTGAAAAAGCTGCGTATTGTATGATCCAACTCCATGACATTCGGGAAGAAAACTGGTTGCCAGACGCTGGGATGAACAGGCAGAACAGGGAGGGCTTTTAGAGCAAGGAAAATACTGTCTGACACTGTATGATGGAAACGTGCCATTGTGCATTTGTCCAAACCCATGGAATGTTTGGACAACACAAAGGGTGGCCCCTGAGGTAAACTGTGGACTCTGGGTGATAATGATGGGTCAGTATAGGGTCATCAGTTACAACCACGTACCACTCTGGTGTGAAATGTTACTAATGAGGGAGGCTGCACGTGTGTCGGGGTGGGAGTAAATGGGAAACCTCTTTACCTTCCTCTCAGTTTTGGCATGAACCTAAAACTGCTCCAAAAAAAAAGTCTTTTAAGACAAAATTCTTAGCAGAATCGCCTTCCATAGCCTCAGTGGTCCTTCCAGCTCTAACACTCGATGACAGTTTCTCGGCTCCAAAGGTAGTTTTGTTAGAATGCTTAGCATCTGTCAGATTTTCCCCGTGGTGGGTGAGGGGCCCAGCTCTGAAAACCGAAAGTCCTAGAAGGAGAACAAAGAACAAGGCATCCACTCCTTACTCAGAAAGGAGGAAAGGACAGGGGCTGTGTGGCTGGTTAGGAACAGAGTGGGGCCCCCAGCCCAGGGCACTGTCCAAGTCACGTAGCTGAGCATCCTTTGATGCTGGGGCACATCTGTTAAGGTAAAACATAGAGAGGTGGGCTCCATCCATTGAAAAGAATTTGCATTTCCTTTTGTCTTCGGGGAGACCAGGAGATCTCCTCTTGGTTTGTGTTTGTCTTGCCTGGCCCCACGCCTACCCGTACTAATTTTTTTTTTCTTACCTGTACTCATTTTGACGTCCTAGGACAAGCAGGGGATACCGTGGTGGCTGGGACTGAGCTACAAAGGCATCTTCCAGTATGACTACCACGATAAAGTCAAGCCGAGGAAGGTAAGCGGGCGGACGGTGCTCAGGCAGAGAGAGGAACCGGGAAAGAAGTGGCTAAAAATATTACACCGCACAGCCTCAGGGCTTACCCGTCCCCTGCTAATTTGAGTGTATCCAAACTCCTCCGCAGTCATCCCATCTGCCTTCCCTGAGTGAATATTTTTTTCTCCCCATCACTAAGGAAACGTAAGCTGTTAAAATGATTTAAGGTAAGAAGACTGGGTCAGCTCACCCAGAGCAGATGGGGAAAGGACTTCAGGGGACAGTCCTGACCCTCCGTTTCCGGGGTGCTGTGCGCCTGGGATGGTGAGGGAATGCCTCTCTTGAATCTTGAGGCTCATCTGAGTTTTCCCAAAGGTGGTTTGTTTTCTTTCTTCCTTTTTTTTTTTTTTGAGGAGGGGGAAGTTACTATAAGAAGAGATTGTAGGTCAGAAAGAGGTGAAAAATTAAGAAGAATGGGGGCATTCCTGCCAATCCAGTAAATCTTTTATGGCATATTAGAAGTGATCAGAAATCTGGAAAAAATAAGATCATTTGCCAAAAAAAAAGAAAAGGAAGCAGAGAGGCATCTGCAAAGTCATTATGAAGCCAAAACAGTGTTTGAAGGGGATCCAGGGCTTGAATTTTCTGTTTTCGTTGATACACGTTTTTTCAGACCGGAACAAATTGAAAAATTATAATGGAAATATGTCTCGGAGGCGAGAGCTGTCATTCAGCAACTCTGGCAGAGAAAGATGGAGAGACGGTCTACGTATTAAAAGTCGATCAAAACCACGTTTGCTTTAGGAAGGGGAAAGCAGTATTGGTCCATTATGTCATTCCAGAATGCTTTCCAGGCTTCTTCATCCACGAACAGGATTGAAATCCACACTACATATCCAAAGCTTATTGCCGTCTATCCGGTTCACTTCTGCCCTTAGCCAGTTTCTTTATTAAATTGATAGGGGAAAAAATGGCCCTGTGTCAGGGAGGATTTTCGCTCAATTGATCAGTCAAGTTCTAAGAAAAGATGCTGAGCGAACGGTGGAGGAATTCTTCCTTGGGGACAATTCAGTAGGAACCTGGCTGTTCCGGGGGCTGTTGTTTTGTGAGTGTTTCCAAAACCCCTCCAGTTTCCATGCATCCGCTGCAAGACGTGATTTGGACTCTGCGTTCTTATTTTCTCCCTCTGTGTTCTTCTCGGTCACTGGGTCTCTCTGTCTTCCTGGCTTCCTCTCTGCCTCTTTCCCTTATGACCTTTGTAAGTTTCTGTACTTTTTCTTCTCGACTTTTCCCTTCACTCCTTTCATTTTCTACGTCGACTGTCCTCTCTCTCTGACCCACCTGGCTGTTTTTTCTGCTTGCGAGAGCCACGGATGCTTCTAGATCCTGGTCACAGTAGATCCAGCTCTTGAATGCCCATGCTGGTGGGACCAATTGAGATCTACAGCAGAGTTCATGAAAATCCCACGGTTGAATTCTTCTCTCCCTCTGTGTGGTTTTGAAAAACGTGCTAACAGGTATTCGTATGAGCTCAGTTTAATTTATTAATATGTTGAAGTTTCGTTTAGTTCTCGAATTGAGATGCTGGTGAAGATTTGGGGGGTTATGAGCTAGCACTGGGTAGACGTGCTTATATGTAAAACGCAGGGTGTGCCAGGTACGATGCATCGCAAGGGCTCAGGAAATTGTACCTACTCTTGTATGGCTCTAAAACAAGCTTCAAAGTAGGGAGACGTAGGAAGCCAACAGTGTGAATAAGGGAATTTATGCTCATTTGTTGAATTTATGCAGGTCATCGGATTAAAGACCGTTAAAAGGTCAATACATTTACTCAGGATATCAGCTCTATTTAGATTGAGTTGTTATTTAAAATAATGTATGCTTCTGTGAGGAAGTAGTTGGGATTCTCAAGTCTATTACTAATCGAGGGGTAACCAAGCCATCAGTCACTATTCATTCATTCATTCAAAACGTTCATTGCAGGGGAGGGTGCAACTCAGTGGTGGAGTGTGTGCTTAGCATGCATGAGGTCCTGGGTTCAAACCCCGTACCTCCAATTAAAAAAAAAAAGTTTATCACATACCTGTTTCGTACCAAGCAGACCACAGGGTGCTGAGATAAATAAGACCCCCATCAGGTCCTCAGGACCTGTCAGGCTATCAGGGAGAGATGCGTGGTAATTGCATCATACAGATAAGAAGTCTGTGTGGTGGTCGGTGGTGAATTAAAGGAAAGAGGCATCAACTGGGCTGAAGGAGAAACGTCTTCACAGGGAGCACAGTAGGAGCTGTGCTCTTAAAGGGTGGACAGAGGTTTAGCAGATGGACAGAAGGCGCGAGGAGTGTGCGAGGAAGCGCCATGCAGGAGAGCAGCGTGGCGTGATGGAATATAGCCTGGGAGGAACTGGCGGGGAGGCCAATGGGGCCCCGGCTCCCGGAGGCCTGAGGGTTTGCTAAGAGGATCTTGTCATCGAGGCAGCGGGACCACTGACGCCGAGGATGTTCGTAGTCAGAGAAGCATCGTTCTGGCAGCCGCGGGAGGATGAGTGGGGTGAT